CTGCGCTCGGCAGGCTGCGGTAAATCCGGGCTTGCGGCCGCTGGTGTAGTCTGTGGCCGGGTGGTCCTTGCTGCGCGCCCCGAGCCCCGACAGCCATGCAGATGTCCTACGCCATCCGGTGCGCCTTCTACCAGCTGCTGCTGGCCGCGCTCATGCTGGTGGCGATGCTGCAGCTGCTCTACCTGTCGCTGCTGTCCGGACTGCACGGACAGGAGGAGCAAGACCAATATTTTGAGTTCTTTCCCCCGTCCCCACGGTCCGTGGACCAGGTCAAGACGCAGCTCCGCACCGCGCTGGCCTCCGGAGGCGTACTGGACGCCAGCGGCGATTACCGCGTCTACAGGGGCCTGCTGAAGACCACCATGGAACCCAACGATGTGATCCTGGCCACGCACGCCAGCGTGGACAACCTGCTGCACCTGTCGGGTCTGCTGGAGCGCTGGGAGGGCCCACTGTCCGTGTCGGTGTTCGCGGCCACCAAGGAGGAGGCGCAGCTGGCCACGGTGCTGGCCTACGCGCTGAGCAGCCACTGCCCCGACATGCGCGCCAGGGTCGCCATGCACCTCGTGTGCCCCTCTCGTTACGAGGCAGCCGTGCCCGACCCCCGGGAGCCGGGGGAGTTTGCCCTGCTGCGGTCCTGCCAGGAGGTCTTTGACAAGCTAGCCAGGGTGGCCCAGCCCGGGATTAATTATGCGTTGGGCACCAATGTCTCCTACCCCAATAACCTGCTGAGGAATCTGGCTCGTGAGGGGGCCAACTATGCCCTGGTGATCGATGTGGACATGGTGCCCAGCGAGGGGCTGTGGAGAGGCCTGCGGGAAATGCTGGATCAGAGCAACCAGTGGGGCGGCACCGCGCTGGTGGTGCCTGCCTTCGAGATCCGACGAGCCCGCCGTATGCCCATGAACAAAAACGAGCTGGTGCAGCTCTACCAGGTTGGCGAGGTGCGACCCTTCTATTATGGGTTGTGCACACCCTGCCAGGCACCCACCAACTATTCCCGCTGGGTCAACCTGGCGGAAGAGAGCTTGCTGCGGCCTGCCTACGTGGTACCTTGGCAGGACCCCTGGGAGCCATTCTACGTGGCAGGAGGCAAGGTGCCCACCTTCGACGAGCGCTTTCGGCAGTACGGCTTCAACAGAATCAGCCAGGTGCTCATAAGGGAGAGGGCAGGGGTAATGGAGCAGGAGGGGTGGTGGGATCAGGGAGTTATGAGTAGTGGCCCTGGATGGAGAGGAGGCAATGAAGCAGGAGGGATCACCGTTCAGGAGGTGGGTGGATGGTGTGGAAGATCCAGGATACTTCCAGAGGGGTGAGGGCGCTGGACTGTGGCTTTAGAGAAGTCAGTCTCAGCCCTGTCAATGTCATCAAACTTTGCTGACCTGTCTTTCCTCTTACAGGCCTGCGAGCTGCATGTGGCGGGGTTTGATTTTGAGGTCCTGAACGAAGGTTTCTTGGTTCATAAGGGCTTCAAAGAAGCGTTGAAGTTCCATCCCCAAAAGGAGGCTGAAAATCAGCACAATAAGATCCTTTATCGCCAGTTCAAACAGGAGTTGAAGGCCAAGTACCCCAACTCTCCCCGACGCTGCTGAGCCCTTCCCTACCCTAGTCTGAGAAGTCAGCCTCTGGGCTCCTCAGGCCACCGTTTAGGCCTGACTGGGGTAAAAAATGTCGCTCCACTTTACAGAGGTAGCTGTGGTGTTGAAACACTGGACTTGAATATGGGGTGCTGGGATCGAGTCCTAGCTTTACCACTAACTAGCTGTGTGGCCTTGAGTAAATCCCGTTACCTCTCTGAGCCTCGGTTACCCTGTCTGTAAAAAGGGAGGTGAGAATACCTACCTCACGGAACTGTCGGGAGGCTCAGATGAGATGTTATATGTGAAAACATTCTGTAAGCTTCGTACAAATGTGAAGTATTAATATTATCGCAGTATTATTATTGTTATTATTATTGTTATTATTAACAATCTTGGGTGGGTAGTAGGAGAGCAAAAAGTATGAATGGGATGGAGCTAAGAAGTCTGAGTACTTAATGAAATGGACTTTTTGGAAAGAAATCAGATGAAGGCATAAACTTTAGTTCTTAGCTCTTGAACAGAAGCCTAAAATTCTTGGTTCTCTCAGGCCTTCGCCCTCAAGGGCTCTAGAGGAGGGAAGACTCTGCAGGCTCCATGGGTGACAGCCTGAGATCTGTCCCTTCAACAGGCTGGGCTGGGTATGTGCCTACCGATGACAATGTGTAAATAAATGCGTGTTCACACCCACAGCTGGCTCCGTTACTCTCCTGAGCTGGGGGTGGGGGGATCGGGGCCGGCTTCTCCCCTTGCACGCCATGGGGAGGTGGTCGCGGACGAAGGGCGCCGTCTGCAAAGCACTGAAACAGCAGGGCCTTTTCTGCAGGCCAAAGGCCTGCGCGAATGTCGGCCAGTTACTATGGAGACCGGCCCGCGGTATCCCAGCATGCCTCGGGACCAAACTGCCCAATTGTGAGCACCCTCGACGGTCGCCTCCTGATGACGCACACGGAAGCACCGATAGGCTCTGCCTCCCGGAGAAAAGGGAGCCGCGCAGCGCCTGCGGGAGACCGGCGCTGCTGCCGGTACCGGCAACCACGGGCACCTCTCAGGGAATCTCGGTCTTGAGGCCAGAGGCCCCAGTCCCCGCGGTGCGTATCGCCATGCCTGGCTTTTGGTTCGGCCTCTCCGGTTAGTCGAGCAGGGCCGGCACAATCTCCTCCTCCCAGGCCGAAGCAGAGATTTAACTGGCCTGATGCGTGCTGGGCTGCGGGCTAGCCAGCGATGTTCGGGCCCGCTCCCGCGCATCTAGAAGCGAGCGGGTGGCCCCCTGGGCACCGCGGAGAAGCTGGGTTGACCTCTGCGAGAATGGGGAGGGTCTGCCTTCCCTAGGGGCGTGCCCCGGAGGAGCTGCCATTCTGAAAAGCTAAATTGCCTGTGTACAGCGCTTTACAATGTGCTTTTCCATCCCTTACCACCGCGCTTTACAATGTGCTTTTCCATCCCTTACCACCTGTGAGCTCCTCAACACTCAGAGCAGGAATGGTTATCCGCTTTTTGCACCCGGGGTAAGATGGGAAGATTGTGACTTAACTCACTTATAATCAGAACCAGCTGGAGGAGAGAAAGGTTTCTGGAACAGATAGATTTAAGCTGCGTCTTACAAAGTGAATATACTAACAGTGAAGAGGCATTGCAAGTGTTGGGAACTGAGGCTTGATAACTGGAAAGATGAAGCTGGTTTAGAGAACCGAGCTTTTCAAGTCAGGTGCAGATCATTAGTGAAATTGTTGAGGAATATGACTAAACGCTCACCTAGGCCAGGCTTATTATACACAACTTGAACTGGTGTCAAGGAAAGTTTGCTACCATCACAGGGACCTGGGACTACCGAAAAGTAAAAGCTAATGTCTGCCTCACAAAATTTTTTTGTTGTTGTTAAATTTGTATTTGCAAATCCTCCAGTCATCAAGTGAACCAGTACTGTGCTAGGTAAATCAGGTACGTGTGCAGCCCCTGCCCTAGTGAGGCTCATAGACTGATGTGGGGGGAACAGACATGAGAATAGGCAAATAGATACAAACAAAGCTTCCTGGAGGGAGTGGCGTCTGCAGTGTTCTAAAGGACTACAAGCAGTGTCCAGAGAAGTTGAAAGAACACAATAAAATAGAAGCCTGCAGGGGGCTGAGAGATTATCTGCTGAGAGGACTGTTTTCATCCTCTTAGGTGATCTCTTGGCAGTACTTGGCACTATCAGTACAATTACTGCTTGGCAGTACTTGGCTTTCTTCTGAAATTCTCTTTCTCCACGACTTCGGGTTTTGCCTCCTTCTTTGTAGGGGTCTCCTCATCTGCCCCTTTGGTAACCCTGGGAGTTCCATTATGGGCGTCTTCTGATTGCACACATTCTCCCTTGCTAGTCGCACCGTCTCCTGTGGCATGAAGAACTTGCTGTATGCTGACGACCAAATCTCTGCAGCTCAGATTTCTCACTGAGACTTAGACCCATGTGCCCCCAGCTGCTTTCCTTCTCTTATTTCTGGATCTTTGCTACTAACTCTACCTGGAATATTCCCTCAGTAAGTGCAGTTCACCCAGCTGGTCCATCTTTGGAAGCGTCCCTGCTGCATCGGGCTCCAGGTCCTGGTTATATACTCCTCCCTCATGCCCCTGGTCTTAACTCTCCTCATATCATGGTTATAGTGTGCTCCTTTGCCCCTCTCTCCCAGGAACTTGTAAACTCGGTGAGGTCAAAGACAGTCACACTTGGGGCCCCTGCATACCATAGCGTCTGACAGTACCCAGTATATGTTAGATGTTCAATACATGTTAGATGAGTCAGTAAAAGAAGGAATGCTTACCAGTGTTCAATGTTGCCGAGCAGACAATTAAAATAAGCACTGAAAAATAT